AACTACTTGCATTCATTCTGAAAAAGTATGTAATTTTATATTTTCAGGTTTATAAGAAATCATCATTTCATATAGTCTTTTCTGTAAGACTTCTAGCCAACTTTCATTCTAATTCTTCCACCTAAATTTTTTGTCACAATTGATTTCACGTATAAGTTTCTCCATTAGACAATTAGTCCCTAAAAAGGACCAAGTATATTGGTTGACACCCTATTCCATTTGTGGAGAATGAAAGCAATCAGCTCACTAGGCAACCACCAACTCTGAGTCCAGTATTCAATTCACCTTACCTACCACAACAAGATTCAAACATTCTGAGTTCCATATCTTTCATATTAGAAAACCATAAATAATTCTCACAAAGAATGAATATTTTTACCACTGACTGCCTGAAATTTCCAGCTCTTGTTTCTTACATTCAAACCCCACATAACAATCTTTTTCTTTTAACCTACGTAAAAGACAGATAATTAAACAACTTACCACAACCATAACACTACTCCTATTACCAAACAAACAGGTTTATAAGAGATAGGTGTTACATTTATAAACAGTGTTTCATACTTTTATGCAGCCAGAGCACTGCATAGTGACTTTCACATAGGTAGTAATCAGATTTTCCTATCAATAAGAAAAATGCCTGCAAAATAAGGAGGAATAAAATATAGAGCTCTCAAGGTTTCTCCAGCACAAGAACAGATCTCTGTGAAGCAGGACAGCCAGATCTGGAGACCCCTTTCGTGGTAAACAATAACACCAAATCATCTGTGTTATGCTGTATTTGCTATGCCATCTGATCTTTTCATGTCTGACAGTTAAAAACAGTGTATTGGACCAAAGACAGTGAAGATCAAGGTGATTTTTATTTCCTCACCTCAGTGAATGGTTTCTCTAAGAGAGAGGAGTGCATAATAACTCAGAAGGGAAGGCCGCTCTCAGAGGAAAGCCTGTGTGGTTTAACAGGGGAAGGCTTGTACTATCTTGCTTCTACTCAGAAGACAATATTCAGCTTAAAAAACAAGAGAGTGACAACAGATAACGTTATCTAGTAAGACGATTCAGAACTGAAACATTTATTTTATCTCTTCAAAATATATACTTATCTAGCATAAAAATAACTAGATAAAATTATTTAAATAAATGAAGATAATCTCATGACATTTACTGTACTTTCCAATTATTATTATTGCTTATTTTCTTTCTCAGAAAATTCAAAGCACCAAATTCAATCCCAAGTTCCACAATATGTTAAAACATCAAGATCTTTTTCAGCCTATTTTTTTTTGTACTTTGTTTGCATTGATAACTGGCTCTGAAAAATATGCAAGTTTTAAACCTTTATGTAGCCTGACAGTCAGTCACTACTTCTACTGTGGTCTTTTTTGCTCTTTAGTGAATCTCATTCATCTCATTATCCCTCATGACAGACGATAAGCAAGATAATTTTATATACATAATATATATATATATATAAAATAATTTTTTGGCTTTAAAAAAATAACATTAACAACAAACTAACTTATAGCTTGAAATTGCAGGTAATCCCTTAATTGCTTTTTTCAGTCAAAGAAAAAAGATGCCTAAACTTGTCATACATGCTCTTATTTCCATGTCATATAATTTAGCAGGAAATATACTCATGGCCTAACACAAATGCATGCATCTCCAAAGACAAAAATACACACCTCAGTTTAACAAAAAAAAAAAAGCATGAAAATAATCATGGCAAATTTACAGCGTTTAGAGAATTAGGTATAGACTACTGAGTTTAATTGCTGCTTCAAAAGAAACAGAAATGAGAAGTGTCAGGTACCCTGTTCGAACATCAAGAGCTAGGAGACTTCTTTTTACAGTGATGGTGATTCTGATCTAGTATTGGTGTCCCAAAACAAGAAAAACAATATTCAAGGTATGACTTTACATCTGCCACAGATATTCCACACATCACAGAACACAAAAGTACATTTGCAGACAATGATATCTCAAAATTTGAAGGTGCTCACAACAGTTTGAAAAGTACTATGGGCAACGTGTGAGGACATCAGAATACCCTGGAGGACTTCAAGTGACACATCATGTTACTGGGTGAACACATTGTACACCCTATAAAAATACTTTCATTCCCAGGTCAGAACTTTCAGAAAAGTCTCTTTGCAAAAAGAGAAAAAAAATTGCTTAGGAATTAATTCACTTTTCTGTTCAGAATATTTCCCTTAAATACAGAGATTCAAAAACTTCAGAGTGCTGGGAAACAAAGGGAAATTGTGCTGTTATTCATAGTTTATTGTATGCAGTATGCAAAGAATAACCATATTATTCCTCCTGACTCTAAATAACTTTTTGCTCAACTTCTGCCATAAAAGAATAATTTCCCAATCTTTAAGAACTGTAATCTTTAAACTCACCTGCTGCAAATTGTGTATGTATTTGTTTATGAGGACTAATACTTCCTAGATACAGAAAGCCTTAGACAATGCACCAAAAAAATTGACTGAAGTCTGCTGATGGAAGATTTATCCATTTTTAGCAAATGTCAAATCACTGGCTATTGCTTTTAAGATTAATAAAAGATATAATGGTTTCTAGATAGCCTCTAAATAAAGATTACTATGAATGGAGAAATGATTTACCAATAGTCACCACAATGATATTTCTTTAAAGGTTACAATCATAAGTTATTTAGCTGAAACACTGCTGAGAATGCCTGGTCATTTCTTGAATAATGCATAATGTTCATTGTAGATCTGATCTGTATTATAACAATAGATATTTCTAAAATAATGGAGAAAACTATCTGTTACTTTCCAATTGCTCAAGATATTTCCATGAAGTAATTGACTCTGAAAATATTATATGGAGTCACCTTAGAGTTCATTTGCAAGCAAAACTCATAGCAATCACTACACAATAGGCATAAGAGAACAAACTCATCATCTTTCATAGACTTTTCAGGAAAGCTGCGACAAATACAAGGCAGAGTAAAGGACCTTTATGAAATCCCAAATTAAAAGGTATAAGTTACTGTACAGTATTGGGGAACAAATTTTAAACTAAGCTTTGAAATTTAATTATTAACACAAGCAGACCACCACATTGAGTAAGGATGGAGGAAGAGGAAGTGAGGGAGAGAGTGAAAAAAAAAAGCAGTTCCGTACACCCTATACCATTCATATAGTTTTTGAAATATCTTTGAGTCTATTCAGGAGATTGCTTGGGCATGAATGAAGTATAATGTCTAATGTATTATTGTAGGAATATCAACTATATTCCATACAAAGCTGCTAACTATTTAAATGAGCTTGTTTATCCTTATGAATTTCCTCAAGGGCAGCAAAAGTGACCTTAATAAATGAAAATGAATTTCTTTTGATGTTATTTCATGAATGTTTGATCAGAATGTGTTAACAGGACTCCACGTAAGGAGAACTGGTGAAGCAATAAAATATACTTCTACTATAGTTAATCCCGCTTATAGTGAATTCATATACAAAGAAACACCATTTATTAGTAATAATTATTATTTCAATATTCTGACAAAAAAAAAAAAAATCAATCCTAGTTAGTATAAAGAAACCTTACTCAAATATTATCAAAAGCAAAAATCCTTTTTTATCCCCTACATAGCCGTTATGCTTAGAGGAATGTGAATTAACTCATCAGAGGTTGGAAAGACATTAACTGTTTACGTAGGTTTTTTACAGGGAGGAACAAGACCTTAACAAGAACTTAACTTAGACCAGACTAGTTATGCTGATATCTAGGAATAAGGTTTAATTTTCCCTCAAAAATCTTTCCTTTGTCAGAATCTTTGCCCAAAAGGAAGCGTCAGTATTCAAATATATATTCTTATTCCACAAGAGGATAACAAGAAACAAATCTCAGGTAGTCTGAAAATATACACAGAGATGAGACCACTTTCTACAACACAGGACATCTAGTAGAAGCTTAGCTATACGAATTTTGGGAGGAATTATCTATTTCAATAGATAGATCACAGATCCTAGAGCAAGTTCACTTTATATCCAGCTTGAAACAGTTGCTTAATTACCAGACGGCTCATCCTGGAAAAGGGGTGAACACTTGCATATTATATAAGAAGGCTGATGAACCATGTTATATTCATGCACTGGATGATGCAATTATCCTTTTTTTTTTTTTCTTCACTAAAATTATACATGGCATGGCAGACAATATAAATGAAATAAACGAAGTGATGCAAATATATCCAACTAATAAATCATCAGTCCAAAAATCCTTCAGTTGCTGCCCTTCACGTCTATCTCCATCCACTGAAAATTATAACTTTGCTTTACTGATCTTTCTTCCTTTAAATGAAAGAGCAACTAAAAGCTCCTTTCACTGGCAGTACCAGTAACCCTTTGTGGGCATTTCTGGTTTAATAAGCCACTAGTTTATAATACTTATCAAGCATCAAGATCAGACTCTTCTTCATAAATAGCATAAGTAAAAAAATTACACAAAAATGTTCAGTTTATACAAGTCACTGGAAACCCTAGTTAGGAACAATACACATATAACCTCTAAAATCAAAGATTTAAAAATGTTGATGTTACGTTCATGAACTAGAAGACACAATTCTGCCTTTAAGCTTTAATTATGGAAATTAAGTGATTGTTTGAGTCCTCACATCAAGAAATAACACCACGTTTCCCTCAAATACACCCATTGATAAAATATTAAAATAGGAAAAACAACATGATCATTGCTAGATAACTTCGAACAGTTAAATGTATGCTACCCAAAAGACTTACTGTTGTATTATTTATATCAGTAGGTTTGTTGTTAAATAAAAATAAATAAAAGAGGTTTATTTCACCTTCACATGGTGTCTTTCTCATGCAGACCTCAGATTTCCACATTTGTATCCCTTTAAAGGATTTGATATGCAGGGAAAGAAGAAAGGATGATGGTAAAAATTTCAATTTAGAGGTTACTAAAGGCTGCCATAGCCGACACAAAACAATGTATTTAGGCCATACCTTTTACTGATGTATTAGGTGGAGGTCCTTCCATTCTCAAGTTCCATGGAGGATCACCTTGATTAGCAAAGTCCCTCATTTTCAGATAGCTAATTGTAAGTCGAATGATGGATGCCTTGTCAAGCTGGCTGGTAATGGCTGCAGGCAGTGGCAACAACTTTGCCAACTCATAGAATTCAAAATTCTCCTTTCCCCGGCGAGAGCGAGCAGCATCTCGGGACTTTTCCTTTCTCAAAGCCTGTAAACTGAAGAAAATAAACAAAGTAGGACATTCATCAATATTAGTGTTATGCCATATATAATGAACTTGCTTTTTCATTGCTGATTTTCAATATACATTATGACATTTTAAAAGTGTTGTGAATGGATATACAGACTACAGGATACATTTAATGGTACTCCAATCTTTGAATAATTAAAACTAATGATAGTGTTTTATTTTTAGTTGTAGACATGTTACATAACTGCTCCTAACTCATTTCATCCACTCTCTAATTAGCCTGTCCTTTATTTTTCTGCTGCCAGCCAGAAGAAAGGATTCCTAAGAATCCTTTATCTATACAGATGCTACTGCTTCTTCTGACCCACTAAAAACTATCTTCGTCCAAATTTGTACCAAATTCTGACTCTCATGGGAAAGGAGGTTAGATTCAGATGTCTGAAGTGTGTGCTATCACTGACAGGGGTTGCTGTAGCGGCAGTCAATATGACCAGACAGGCTATAAACTTCTGTGGCTCAGAAGCTGCTTTAAAGTCTGGTGTAATAATGCAAACCTACTGAGATTTCAAGAAGTTAATCTTTGTGACTTGTTTAGCTGGCCTTGCTGTTGAAACAGTAACCATTTTCAGAGATTCAAGAAAGCAGTTAATGGAGTTACGCGCTTCATTTTTTCCAATTTTAATTCAACATCACATACGACAGACTCCTACGCAGCTTTTTGGATTAGAGAGACCCTTCTGCTTTATGCAAAACAGGTGGATATGCAAGGACACTCATTTACTTCAGGTTTAAGGTATTTCTTGCTACCACCTCTATACTAGGCCTAAAATTAACTCCGATTTTACTCCTGTGCTACTTAATTTGTGTAAAACATCTGAACACACATTGAGAAGACACTGGATCATCAAGGCTGTTGTCTTCCCCTGATTTTTTCCCAAAAGTCAAAGAAAACTCAAGTTTCAGTTTCTTTCTTTCTTTGTTAATATCTGATATAATTGCTTTACAAGAGAAAATGGATTCACACTGTTCGTTGTGTGCTTTGAAGCAAATGAACAAACGCACAGTAAACTTACCAGAAGATTAAGAATCAATGTACAAACAATAAAAAGAACAGGTATGAAATTTTTTTCCTCCTCTTCTAAGGGGTTTTCTGGGAGACAAAGTTTTCAGCTTAGGACAAGTCTCGACTGTACATTTTACCCACATCTTGGTAAATAGAGATTGGCGCTGATGTTTGTGTCTACCAGTCAGTTCTAGACCCTCAAAAAGGATGTATTTTTACTTTGTTTTGTTTGATTACTTATTAATTGCATGAAATTACAGTCAAAATTCCATTAAATACCCATTGGTTTGAGAAACAAATTTGAATACAACTAGTGTGTAATGAAACAGCAAATACTTCTCTCAAGCTTCTACAACTCTTATTGAAACCTTGGTTTTCATTACAGAGTAGTCTACAAAATCACTACAGCTTATGAAGTAGATTAGACAAGTAAATTTAAAACTACAATTCTGAGACTCCTATTCACCTTCTAACTTAGGGATGACTTAAACTACAGAAGAGATTATCTTGCTTTAATATTCTTACCTATGTACATTTTTTGCAGCTATCTCTGCCTAAGATACTCCTCAGAATTGAAAGGGCAGACCACCAATGCATCACACTGCCCTGAGAATGATTAAAAACTTACATTCTCTACACAATTATATACTAACAACTATATTTTTAAAAACAGCTAAGGAATACAGGCGGTGAATGGTCAGACCACCAGTAAGAAATACCATCTATTTATCCATAGATAAAGATACAATGCTCTATTGAATTCCATGCTAAAAAACCTACTTGTCTTTACGAGCTGTAACTTAACAGCTCACAGCTAGATTGAAATTTACAAGCTATATTCTAAGTGACAAATGAGACTTCTGAAATTGAAAGGTGTTAGGAATTGAAAAGTGATAGAATATTCTTTAGCAAAACCTAAAACTGAAAGCACAGTTTACAAATCCTGTACAATGTTCAGAAGATTGCTAAAACTGAACAACGTATTGCAATATAAGCTTATATAATGCATTACTGGATTGTTAAGTTTTGCAATCTCAGTCAGTTCAGCTGAAAAACAGGGCTCTCTGTTAAATAAACAGGTGGCTTTCAGAGCCATCTAAGTGTATTTAAACTTCTAGAATAAAAAAAATCCCAGCATACAAGTGATGGGAAATTAATAAATGTATGAAAGCAACTCTAAAGAAGTGGTAATATCAGTAAACATGGCTTTCCTCCCAGCCATACTGTATACTGCTCTTTGTGAAAATACTAACAAAGTTAGTCAAGTCTAGAAGTTTGTAAGTCTTGGCATCAGTGCATTTTGCTAAGTTTAGCAATGATGTCTGGCAAAAAGTGCATGTAAGTCTCAATTTCTCTACCATGCAGTTCTACCAATAGACAAATTGTGGTAGTAGTATTGGACACCAAAGTTACACTGATACAATGGGTCCTTAATTTAGTAACAGCAATTTCCTCAGCAGAATGCAGGAATTCATTAGATATGCCCTGAACGTCTTTGGCACCTGTGATTCTGATAGGCAACATCAGCTTCATCACTGGATGTTTGTAACAGAGGAAAGTGCTGGCACTGACCATCCTAATAATGTGATATAAGAGGTGTGAAGCTCACAGCAGAAAGCAGTGGTGCTGACACCACATGTTGGGCCCTTGTCATATGACATTAATATTACAGGTAGTTCTTGGTAACAAATGAACTTGCTGCAAACCAGTCTGCAAACGCTTAGAAATTCCTACTAATGAAAAGAATTGAAGTGTGAGAAACTGTACAGACGTTTACTACATTGATTCCACATTAGAAAGTACCTACAAGTCAAATATTGTATGTGTCTTACACGAGGATTAGTTCTTAGATGAAGTCTCCCAACAGACAAGCAAATCTACATATGCTGTCTATGCTACCAACAAGGAAATAACAAAGTGTGAAATATACCCAAGGGACATAAAGATTGCTCCCTCCTTGCTGCCTGTGGAGAAGGGGAAAGAGCTCAGATAATTGGATCAGAGCACATCCCTGTTCAATATCAAAGGATGATGTCATGATACAATGGTAAAACTTCATGCATTCCCCTAAGAACATACTTCTAAAGCAATTTTCATACAGAGTCCACTAAAGAAGACAAAGAGGTTTCCAGCTGCTAGCTCTTGATAATTCTGAGATGCAATAGCATAAAAACAGAATATTTAATGACTAGAAAACTAATGCTACTTTAGATAGGAAGTTTCTAAAATATGTATCATTTTTCCTTCTAGGGCCTTTTCAGATGGACTGATATAAAGCAGGTCTCTTTTACAGTTGAAAGGGTACGATAAATAGCGTCGTATAATTTTAAAACGGTGTACACAACATTTCAAAAGTAAATTTTCTATTGAAGACACAGCAGATGCAGAAGACATGATAATATGCTGTTGCATAAAAGTTTTATTGGTACTCATAACTCACTTGTGATTTCATTGTGCTTGTGGTCATTTTGAGCTTAACCTGCTTCATATTTTATTCCACATCATTTTATATATTTTATATTCATAAGCATATAAATGCATCCATGTCTATGTCCAACCCTCCCCTCCCCCCACCAATCTCCACATCTGACAGATCATCATCTGTCAGTTTAAAGATGGGACAAGCACAGCTCCTAATTTTTGCAGGATATAATGGCAATCAAACATATTACAGCATATCAGCAGATGCACTGACCTACATTAGTAAGGATTTTTTTAACATATCAATACCTCACCTGTGTATCTCAGTTTGGGTGGTAAAAATCAGTGAAATAATTTAATGCCATGAGTTTGCATTTTGAATGAAAACAGGGGAATGGCTGTGGTTACAAATTAGTATTTTTATCTACAATTTCAGAATGCAGCTTGGAAGCAGACACATAGAAGGCCCACTCAGTTTTAGAAAAGGAGTTCACATTTACAACTCACTCATTACTTTTTCTTTAAGCCCAACATAGGTAACTGGGGTGTGATCATCCCTCTGTACTCAGCTCTGGTGAGGCTGCACCTCGAGTACTGTGTTCAGTTTTGGGCCCCTCGACAACAAAAAAAACACTGAGGCCCTGGAACGTGTACAGAAAAGGGCAAGAAAGCTGGCAAGGAGTCTGGAACACACATCTTACAGGGAGGGGCTGAGGGAGCTGGGATTGGTTAGTCTGAAGAAGAAGAGGCTCTGGGGAGGCCATATCACACTGAAAAGGTGGTCAGGCATTGGAATGGGCTTTCCAGGGAGGTGGCTGAATCACCATTCTGGATGCTCTGAAGGTGTTCAAGAAATGTTTGGATATTGTACTAAGGGACATGGTTTGGTGGGGAAATATTGGTGATAGGTGGACACTGGAACTGTATGATCTTGGAAGTCATCTCCAAAGTACGTGATTCTATGATTCTATTTCTTTAAGTGCAACACAGACAACTGGGGTTCCCTGAAGATATTGGTCTCTCCCCAGTTCAGCCCCATATACCAGAAGCAGCGAGGTTTTACAGTGCTTCCACTGCACTGGTCATAAATAGAGACTGAAGTGGGTGCAAAAGCCATAAAACAAGGTTTGAGGGACAGACAGGCTACTGAGATCCAGCTAGAATGGTTAAAGCCAATGGATAGCGTGCCAGTAGTGTTCCACCATTGCTTTTGCTCATTTTTATTAGTTACAAGCAGAAAGGTATGACACAATGAATAGGCAATTATTATCAGAGTTCTTTTGTGTTTCTGGAGTTGTACTGAAATCCTCCTTGACTTCAGGAGAAGCTTTACTACAAGGGCAACAGTATACTGGAATGGAGCACTTCTTGTAGTACTAAACAATATCATACTTGTTAATTCAGCTATTATCAACCACTAGTGAATTTCTTAAGCCTCTAACAACAATGTGGATTACTAGCAGGAAAAACAGATACTGTACAACAATAATACTTAACAATATCTAATAATGTTTATAACAAGCTTTATAGAAAATGAAGCA